TGGGGCTCCAACTCAGAACCTCTGGATTCCAAGCTCTATGGCATAACCACTCTTAAAACCTGAATTATTTAAATTCAGTTCAGTTTATTTAGAGCTGAATTTAAGGTAAAGTCTAAATATGTTGTGTCCATGATGCATAAAAGGTGTATGGTAAACGAACACTTTTACAAAAGGAATGGAAATAAAATATCCATTGCTTAGTCATAAAATGGGATTCAAGTCCTTCTGAAAGCTGAACGTCCTATCTTCTTATCGGCACCTGAAGGCAGCACAGCAACACGTGTTGGAGCTTTCTGGAAGCAGCCCTCCTTTTCGCTGTCAGAGCCTGAGCAGCGTTAGCTTTCTGCCGGCGAGACTTAATAACTTTTCTCCGCTGGTTTTCCTGCTTCACGATGGCTGCCGTTAAAGCACTGAACCCTAAAGCAGAGGTGGCCAGGGCGCAGGCTGCTCTGGCGGTTAACATCAGCGCCGCCCGGGGGCTCCAGGACGTGCTGAGGAGCAATCTGGGACCGAAAGGGACCATGAAAATGTGAGTGCCTCTGGAGCTCTTTGTGCGTCAGCTAGCTCCATGCTAAGTTAGCTAAGCTAGCACAAGTTAGCTGCCGGTAAACTGCACAGACATCACTTTGCTTCTTGGTAACACTTGTTTTTTAAAGTCACATAAAGCTCAAATATCTTCCTCAAAACCAAAGAACCACACTTTATCCCCCCTTAGGGTATTACATTGATAACCGGATGAGGTGTTTCCCGCTGCACGTTGCCTTGCCCAGTCATCCCTCGCGCCGATACCGCTAAGCTAACGGAAGAGTGTTAGCATCACCGGCTAGCTCTTTAAGCTAATGCTAGCACCTCAAATCAGTTGTTTATTAATATTTTACTGATATTAATATCAACTTTGGACTTTCCTATTATATTAGATTGTATTTAATGTTTTGTACATTAATTAAAATAAGCAAAAAGATGGTTTTAATGGTCGTGACTTCCCGGACTGAACTTGTCTGTTCGTATAAATTCTTTTTGACACGATTTTTATAGAAATGTGTATAAAGTAACAAATATAACATAAATGATTCATATTCTGTTTGATTAAACATCTGTTTTGCTGTGTGATCCTGTAGGCTGGTGTCTGGTGCAGGAGACATAAAGCTGACCAAAGATGGAAATGTCCTGCTACATGAGATGGTAATGAAGTACTTTTATTTAGAATGTGTGTAAGAATAATTGCCTTTGGTTTTAAATTATATTAACATGGTTAACTTTATAATAAACTATCTAGAAGTGATTGTTCTATTTAGTTAAATCAAACTCCTTCTGCTTCTGAGGGTTTAAGTTCCTTAACCATTATCCAACAGGAAAGTTAAATATTCCTATTTAGTAAATGTAGTTTTTAAATTAAATCCCTTTTTATTTAGTTCAGTTTAACATTTGTAGAGTTGCAGCATTTGAAAATCACAGACCCTATTTTGATCATTTTACAATTCAACATCATTTTAGGTTATTTCTACAATGCCAAATTACAGTAAATATCATATTATGGCATTTTAAAAGACAATCATGATTAAAACAGTACAATACTATCAAAAATTCAAACGCAGTACATTTTATTTAGGGCTGCAACTAACAATTATTTTGCAAATGGATATATCTGTCGATTATTTTTTTTTGGATTAATAATCGTATAGCCGAATGTTCCTTAAAGACTTTTTACGAAATTAAACCAGGTGAAACTAAAACTTTTCCACTTGGAGTCGTGGATCGAGCATTTTAGCAGATGAAAATATATCAGGGTTTTTTTTATTTTTTATTTATTTATTTTTTTTTTTAAATGCAAAATGCTTCCTTTTTCAATTTTTTTTTTTTTTTGTATACAATTTTGGTATAATTGCTGCTCAAAATGTTGTTCTGTCAGCTAAAGGCATGTCTTACAGTCTCTACACTCCAGTTAATCGATCACTAAATTAATTGACAATTATTTCAATAATCAATTAATCAGATTTATTGTTTTAGCCTACATGTATTTCAATTCGGTGCTAGTTCACAGGGTCGGTTTAATGTTGGAATTGCTGTGGTGTTTTTAATCTTTAAAAATATTCCCTCCATTGGCTTATTCACATCGTCGGTTAGAGCTTATCTAGCTGAATAGTCTGATTGCAGATATTGGTTAATATCTGCCTGTATATCCAATTGTAGATCAAGCGCTTAACACCAACATATTGGTAAATCTTAAGTATTATTTTTATTTCTATTAATATGAAGAAATCTGT